GTTGATGCATTGACACGTTGGTCATATGTCTGCATATTGTCCACACGCAACACTGCATTTGCGAAACTCCTAGCACAAATTATTAAGCTTAGGGCTCACCATCCTGATTATCCGATCAAGTCGATTCGACTGGATAACGCTAGAGAGTTTACGTCACAAACTTTTGACGACTATTGCATGTCAGTTGAGATTGAAGTCGAACATCTTATACCCCATGTTCACACCCAAAACAACTTGGTAGAATCTTTCATAAAGTGCCTTCAATTAATAGCTCAGACTTTGGTTATGCGAACCAAACTGCTGATATCTGCCTGGGGCTATGCAGTATTGCATGAAGCTATGTTGGTCCGCCTGAGGCCTACTATTACCCAACCTCATGCACCGTTACAGTTGGTTACTAGATATGAGCCCGACGTCTCGTATTGACGTGTGTTTATGTGCGTAGTCTATGTGCCAATAGCGCTGCCACAACGTACCAAAATGGGTCTTTAGAGAAGAATGAGAATTTATGTCCGTTATGATTCGCCATCAATTATTTGCTACTTAGAGACCTTGTCAAGAGAATTCTCTACTGCACGTTTTGTGGATTGTCACTTTGATGAGACAGTCTTTTCGTCATTATGGGAAATAAGCATGCTAACGTTCCTGTAGAATGTCACGAATTGTCATGGTATGCACTCACTATATCTCATTTAGATCCTCACACTGCCCAGTCTGAAACCAAAGTGCGACGAATTATAGATCTTTAGAGTATTGCTCAAAGCATGCCGGATGCTATTACTGATTTAGCAAAGGTCATAAGATCACATATACTTGTTGCAAACGCACCTGTAAGGATAGACGTACCTAGAGTACGCCGTAATACCGCCTGGTAAGGTCGAACCGTCCTCGAGGGTGGGGCGGCCGCACCTTCTACGCAGCCCGGTACATTGGTGGCTAACCAATCATTTACTTCTACCTTGAAGCGTGGTAGACCCCCTGGTTCAAAGGATTCATAACCCCGGAAGAGGAAAACGGCATAAACTAGTGATCCTAGTCTGATCCGACCATCTCTTACTCATCTGTTCTAACACATACGGTTATTATAGATTACGGTGATGTCTTAGACGAGACAACTCGACCTCCTAAGAATTGCGAGATTTTTGTCCACTATGCAGTATTGGATGAGGTTTGGAATCGAAATAAGATGATAATCGACGATGAATTTGCATACACATTAGTTACTGACATTATACTTAGTGATGACATTGAACTACGTTCCATTGATGAATGCCGATGTAGAACGGATTGGTCAAACTGGAAACAAACAATCAAGGTTGAACTCGATTCGCTCGTGAAACGTAAGGTGTTTGGAGCTATAGCTCCTACTCCATCACATATGAAACCCGTGGGCTACAAGTGGGTCTTCGAGGAAGCATAATGAGAAGAATGAAATAGTGCGATACAAAGCACGCCTAATAGCGCAAGGCTTCTCTCAACGCCCTAGGATTGAATACGAGAAGACGTATTCTCCCATAATGGATGTCATAATATTCCACTACCTTATTAGTTTGGTAGTTTCTGAAAAACTGAATATGCAAATTATGGACGTGGTAACCGCGTATTTCTATGGGGATCTAGATACGAAAATCTACATGAAAGTTCGAGAAGGACTTCCATTGACTGGTTCAAATAGTTATAGACCACGAAACACTTTCTTTATTAGATTGAGGAGATCACTCTACGGATTGAAACAATCTGGGTGGATGTGGTATAACCATCTGAGTGAATATTTGACAAGTCAAGGTTAACAATGAATTATGTCCATGTGTGTTCATAAAGAAGTCACATTCCAGATTTGCGGTCATTGCAGTTTATGTAAATGATATGAACCTCATCGGAACTACCACAGAGCTTGAGGAAATTTTCGTTCACTTGAAATCGGAATTTGAGATAAAAGATCTTGGGAAAACTAAATATTGTCTAGGCTTGAAGATTGAGCATTGTTCGGATGGAATCCTGGTACATCAATCGAACTACACATAAAAGGTGTTACGACGTTTTAATGAGGATAAAGCAAAGCCTTCGAGTACTCCTATGGTCGTTCGGATTCTAGATGCTAAACAAGATCCTTTCTATCCCAAGAAGGATAAGGAAGAGATTTTGGAGCCTGGATTTCCATACCTAAGTGTAATTGGTGTTTTATTGTACTTGGCTCATTGCACTAGACCTGACATCTCATTTGCTGTTAATCTTTTGACTAGATACATCAATGAGCCTACACGCAGACACTGCAATGGTGATAAAGAGATTTTCTGCTACCTCAAAGGTACGATGGATTTGGGCTTGTTCTATACCCACAAATCCTTGAGAGGGGCAGCCGCCTTGATTCATGCCTTGTTGGTTACGCAGATGCTGGTTATCTGTCTGACCCACATAGGGCATGTTCTCAAATGGACTATGTCTTTACCGTTTGAGACACCGTTATATCTTAGAGGTCTACCAAGGAAATGCTAGTTGCGACTTCTTCAAACCATGCTGAAATCCTCGCCCTGCATGAAGCATCGCGTGAGTGCTTTTGGTTGAGAGCAGTTATGGAACATATTCGAAGCACTAGTGGTCTTACTACCGTTGTTGACCTTCCTACAATGATCTTTGAAGACAATGCAATATGTATCGAGTAGTTAAAAAAGTGATACATTAAGGGAGACAACACCAAGCACATAGCACCAGAGTTCTTTTATTCTCACCAGTAACAACAACATTAGAACATTGAAATCAAGCAAATCCGTTCCTAGGACAACCTGGCTGATCTCTTTACCAAGTCTACTTTTCAGAAGCTCGTCCAAGGAATCGATATGCATAAATTATCTGAATTGAATTGCTTGTAGTTCTCTTATTTGGAAGTTGTGTCTAACTCAGTGGGAGTATCCTAAAACATACTCACTTGATATTTATGTACTCATTTTCCTATGATTAGGAGCATTTTTCCCACTGGGTTTTTGATACCTAATAAGGTTTTGATGACCCATCCTGGGATGATCATACTCCGTTAAGTTAACTACTTTCGTTCTATTTGACATTTGTTTTAGACATTATGCATACTTCTCACCTTTCTCCTTAGTATATGGGTTTTCACCTGCCTTAGGTTTTACCATAGCGAGGTTTTGTGAGTTTACTACCAATGCATACTTTCTTTAAATTCGAGACTCGCATTCATTCGTTGTGTCGCCGACTTCATCAACTGTTTTAACTTATCTGCTGAAGATCTGATGTGATGTTTTGTTTGAGTATTTACACACTCAAGGGGGAGTGTTACAATCGTATTTAGAATAGGAATGTGATTTTGTACATCATATTGTATCTAGTGATATCTTGGAATGTTCCCTTTAGTAGTTAATATCCTATTAGAGTTGTAATCCTAAAAGGGTAAGGATTTAACATTTCATACTACTATAAATAAAGGCACAATGGGGTGATACAACACACACCTCACAATTCAATCTCTCTTCTCTCTCTCTCTTGTTGCCGGCCTCTCTCCCTCTCTAATCCTAAATACAAATCAGTCAAATAGACCTACAACATATACAAAGATTTTACTCTATACATGTCGATATCCTACTTTCTATCAAATCCTATTATGTGTGTAATCATGAATAATTATTTGTTATAGCACCAAAGTGGTCGGCCTACTATGTCTTATATTGCCAGAGGTTGATTACATTATACACTCTCCAAATTTAAGATGATTTTCAAAGTAGGTCACTAAGTTCTACTTTTCTTCTATTCCACTATAAAGTATTGAAATTCCATCAATTTCTGCATTTGATGGGATTGAATGTATGATAATTCATTAAGCTGATGACATAATTAGCTTGAGATCCTTATATAAACTAACGTGTAAGCCACATTTTACATTACATGGATAAAAAGCCTATTTAATTTAATGTATGAGGAATAAAATGTGTAAATTGAAATAATTTCAAAACTCCAAAATGCGATGTGAAAAAATTAAAATCTAGTATGTAAAATGTAATTAGCCCTCCTATTGCCAATCTTGCACCCTCATAAGGCATATTTTCTTATCCAAGTTCCAAGATGCGTGTTAAGGAAAAACAAATGTAAAGACCAAATTGAACTTAGGCCCAACAAATTAAATATTGGATCATAAAAAATACACAATATTGGGGAGTTGACTCTGTCATACGTCCTCTCCAAGAAAGAGGTTTTCATTGTTTTATGTCTCTAACAAACAAATCTGAGTTGACACCTTCACACCGTGCTCCTCAAGAGTCCACAACAACTCCTTATTACTCATATTTTTTAAGGGTGATGTTAGAGAGATCATCTACTTGAAACATATTTTGCAAACCACACATGATGTGATGATGGTTGTAACTCTTTCTTTAAATTATTATAAAAAAAATTCAACCGTTTATCACCACATCATGTTGTATACAAAATATGTTCTTAAAACATAGTCTCTCTAACACTTTTTTTTAATGACCGCCTATGATTGATTATCAAGGCCAATTTAGTATTGTTGATGGACTAATTTAATAGTAATTTAGTATATGAAATATTATACAGCTCTAATTAACTTGGTTACACTCAAGTCTACGCAAGTACACACATATTTATATACACACACATGTGTGTGTGCGCGCGCGCGCTCAATACCTTAATCAAGGAGGGGCCAAATGGTTTTGACCAAATAAAGCTTCCCATAATTTTTAAACCAAAAACTTGACCAACTGAAATAATCAAAGAGCATGTTGGAAGCAAGAGCTTCAAGTATCTCGTTGTTATATAAAGGGAGTACCTCTGAGCTAATTTAAAACCACCCACACAAATCTAGAGAGAGAGAGAGAGAATATGGTATCAAAGTCAAACAAAATGAACAAGGCTATTTATCTTCTTGCCCTATTAGGGCTGTTTGCAGGTGTTATTCTCAGCTCCTGCTTTCATGGGATTCCAATGAATTTGGAGGAACAACTTAACAGCGACAGTCTTGCACATGGTTTTGGTGAGTTCAAAATATCTTCTCAATTGTCGTCTATCTCATACATTGCGCAATTTGATTTGTAGCTGAAACACGTGTTAGTTACCAACTAATTCTTAGTCTAGTAATACATCTCTTCTCAATGTTGAAAGAGTTCCGAAATAGTAATACTATATCCTCCCCCCGTTGCGCTTTAGCAAAAACATTTATTGTTGGTTTCACTATTTAGCCTTCTGATATCTTTCTGCAATCTGCTGTGCAGTTCAAATACAAGCCACCGCAGCAAGAAGAATGCAAGATGGCTTGATCACCCTGCCAGTTAAATTCCTCCAATTCTTCCTTTCAAGGTCTCTACAGTTCCGTCATTTGTCCGCGCTGCAGCCACCGCACTTTTCTAATTCAATGCTATTCTGGGTAGCATTTACTCGATCGGTTTCTTCCATGTCCGACGACCTCCCTTTGTAATAATATAATAGTTCCAGAAAATTTGGTCGCTACCCTGTAATTACCTAACAACTTCAATCAAAACTAGGCAAAACCAATGCACCGTGACTGCAAAATAAACGCATTCCATATGACGCATATTGTGAAACACACAAAAACACATTTTCACCAGAACATAAGACAATTGAAAACCTGTAGTCTATGCTCCTACCGACGAGTTAATAATCTGGGTCAAAACTAGCAACGTATCATGTGTTCTCTTTGGTTAACTATCAGTACATGGTACTCTTCACTGTAAAAATAGCCGGAATTAAAGGTCAATGCAACTTATCGCCATCCAGCCACTCGAGTGTAGGAACACACTTGACCACAAATGACTTGAAGTTTTCAACAGAAATTGCGTTTCCCACAGTGACTAACTGCTTCAAGCTCATGCTTTTAAGTATCAGAAAAGCTTCCCAATAACTTTTCACATCGGCTCCCCCAGTTACAATTTCTTCATTGTTCCAACTAGCTTCTTCTGTATGAGAAAGAGGAGTAGAACATTGATACCTTGTCGTGTCGATAGTGTGTGAACCTATCTCATTGTACGAGATATCCAAAACTTGCAGTGAATTCAATAGTTTCAAAGGCCCCAGAGCAGTGAAACTGCCGAGCTTGTTGTTACTCAGATTTAAGCAAGATAGAAGCTGCATGGCCTCCAACCCTGTCCAAAGGCCCAAGCATAAGACATTTTTCCTCTTACATGAAAAACAATCAACCACAAAGCTTATTGACTACAGTCCAGCAGCTAGCAAGAAAAAGAACGCTTAAAAAATCAAAATTCTAATCATGGTGATTTTCTCCAACACGCTTCCTAGATATTACTGGTAAGGCAACCCTTTAAATATTGAATTTGTTCCCGACTATATCAGCCCCACATGAACTGAATGCCCAAAGAAAACTACTAAAGAACAATATATTTTATAAAATCACAACTTTTCCATAAATCTGAGGAAAATACTTGGATAAAAATGTGGAGACCACATAGGCGTTTAAGATGCACAACATGAGCAAAAGAAGTATACCTTCAAGTGAATGAAGTTCATTATGGCTGAGGTCCAGCATTTGGACCCACAGTAATTTCTCAACAGACCCCATCCGCGATAATGATAAGTTGCTTAGTCGTAGGCATACATCATTACCAATGCTCGAAGAAGCCAAGTTTTTATGGCTAAAGCAATGTCTCAGCAGAGACTCCCTATTGGAAGTTATCTGCATTAGTTATAAACATGTAACAAACTGCGGAACTTCAAAAAATGGGAAACCTAAAGTAAATGGAAGTTTTAGTAAGTTCTTATTTAATGACATCCAAATAAATCTTAATTGTCACAGAACACAAAAATAGTTGTCCATCAAAATTCAAATGTGGCTTCTATAAACAAATACCAACATTATATTGGACCAGTCTCAGAAAAAGACCACTTATAACAGTCATAAACATGGTCTAAAAAAGGTCGTACCCAGTGCACAAGGCTCCCACTTTACGCAAGGTCTGGGAGAGGTGAATGTCGGCTAGCCTTACCCCTATTTATGGAGAGGCTGCTCCCAAGTCTCGAACCCGAGACCTACCGCTCATGGGCGAAGGCACTTGCCATCGCACCAAGTCATAAACATGGTCTAATCTAACAAAAATAGATATTTTTCACTTCATAAATTAAATAATCAAGCATAAGTATAGCATCCATTCTATCAGCCAGGGTATACACTTTACCACTGAAGAAATTAGATTATTTAATTACAATCTATGAGTCGGTGTAATCCACAAATAGGTCAGGATCTTCACCCACTGATACAGTCACAGAAGAATATAAATCCAGAAGCACATGCAACAGCATCACCCTGAAAGAATAGAGGATCATAACCTACTACAAGAGGTGGAGAAGAGGTAATTACCTTCCGCAGGAAAACTAGGCTGTGCTCGTCTTTGTAATACTGAGAATGTGATGGGTCCAACTTTATTAAGTCAGTATATAGTTGAAGAACTTCATCAGAGTGGACCATTTTGTTTGTACACGGAGACAGGATAACATCATGAGCTGTTAATAGCCTTGCTAGTGTAAGCTTTCCAATTTTACTGCAAAAATTATATCAAAAGTGGATTATTAACACTCTTGAAATTTCAAACATTCAAGCTTCTCATAAAATGTAGGAGGTCTACCAATTTATCTCTGACACCAATTCTCGGAAGAGTGCTATTTCATTAGCAATACTCTCTGCACGCCAATTTGAAGCCGTAGGCTCATGGACATCATTAATACTTAGTTGACCAATAGGAACTACCTCATGTAGCTCCTGAGATTGTGTTTGGTACGCGTGAAAATTTTCATCTTTCCACAAAACTATGTCCTCGCCCTGCTTTTCTGCTGGTTCAGTTTCAATAGGGCATACACACACTTTGAATGCAAACTGGGTAGGATGGCTATAATGAAAGCCACTTGCAGAAATGAGACCCTGAGTCTGCCCAACACTAACTTTCAGCTGATAAGCTTCTGAAGACTGGGCCTTTGCATCCGGAAATTTAATATGTGTAACCCAAACTTGGGAGAGATGGGAGTTATTTTGTAAGACTGGTTTCCAAACAAGATCTTTTGTGGAAAATGAAGATTCAATGGTTATACTGGATGAGTTTACACCTTCAACAGCTTGATTGAAATAAATAATCAGTGGTACTGTTCCTGAATCAGAATGGAAACTACCAAATGGAGACGAAGAATAGTCACTTGCGTGCCTATTTCTCGACAAAATTACATTAGAACCATGGGCCGGCCAGGAAGAAACAAGAAGAGGAGCATCTGTTTTCATCGTTTGATCAAGAAGCCAAATATAATAAAACCAACCACTTTGATCATCCGGATCCGTAAAAATAGCATCGTGTACATGCTCATACTCATCGTTCAGAACCTTCTCTTTTGGGAAAAACCCTTGAGCCTTTTTCTTCATCAAATTAGACAGGAGCACACTGCAATTTCCGCAATTTCCGCAATTTCCCCAAGATATTCGATTAGTTAATACACATGTTTCATGAGATAAAACTTATAATAAAAAATTTAGCTTTTCTCACTGTTGCAAATTATTTGCAAGACAACCAACGAGTAGATATAGTGCAACCAAAGGAATCCTTAGGAAGATAAAGTTATTTGATGCAATTACGTAAGTATCTTTCAATTTGACTTAGCCTGAAGATTACTAGTAAAAGTCGTGTGATCAGTACACTAGGAACAAGGTAAATTACAATAATATAACAGGCAGCATACTCAGTTCAACATTTGAAAAGACTGCCTTCATTTGGCTTGTAAATAAGCAGAGGAAAGAAAGTCGTTTTCATTTACATATGTAATATATGCAGAAAGCAATAAGTGACAATGGTATGAAAACCTTTTTTTTTTCTCTATACATTCTCTCCACATTCTTGGAAATAACAAAGGAGAGAGGAACAAAATATTTTTCTAAACATTGTTGAGAAATATAACTAAATGACTATAATTCTCTTGACTAAGGGCAGGAATAGGAATTGAAGTCATTTTTATTCTTTAGTTCCCTGCAGACTGCAGTTACTAACATACAGGTATGGGAATCCTTTCACTTCTTAAATTTCACGTGTTTACTAACACATGTGGAATCGGAAAAGTGTGAGCTTTCCCTTGAAATCCACAATCAAATACCTAAAATATTAGATCAACTAGGGGGGACTAGTTGATCCGATTCGGTTTCCTTATTTCCCCTATTTTTAACTTCTCCCAATCCTTCCTGCTCCTATTTCTGTTAACTAAAATGCCCTAAGTGAATCTGAAAAGAAGTTAGCTGTAATAAAGAGATACTTCCCAAAATTTGATTATTTGTTTCAATCTTCAGTCCACGGTTTTTAAAAACTGAAACATGGATAACCAATAAAATAGCTTCCGTCCGCATTTCCTTTTCCTTTTCCTGCTATATTTTGTCTTGCAATAATTGGTAACCAATTACGGCGTTTATTCTTTCTAGTTTCTGCAACGGGGCTTAAGACTTGCTCATCTAACATCTGTATGACTGTTTGTGGCAATGCAACATGCATTGACATGTTTAAAATATACTAACCAATTAAAACAAGTAGCATTCACAATATCCAAAAATGCATATGCAATATAAAGCACATGTTTTGCAATGTTTTCAATCCATACAAAACTTTTAGTTAACAAAAGAGTATCAGAAAGCTCAAAACTAAAAGTAAACCCCATTATAACGTACCTACGATTATGCCAGGCTGAGTAATTGCTGAAATTGTTTTCTATCATTTCCCTAGTATACTCCAACTCTTCCTCGTCCGATCGGTTCAACAATGCAGCAACAAACCTGTAAAGGCATCAAAATAAACAAAGTAAAGGAAACCGATATCATCCAACGCAAATATGAAATCGCAGACTCTTCATTCCTCGAGCGGGAGAGTTGTAACTAACTCGTACCTCCGGTAGTTCCAAGCATGAAAATTCCGGGGATCCAGCTGCTGAAACTGCTTGAGAAGCTTCATTTCGCGGTCTAAAACCGAACGCCCCTTGCTTAGCACCCATTTTCGATGATGCCAAGCTCCGTAGGACTTAAAATTTTGTCTCAGAGCACTTTCTACCTAAAACACACACACACACACACAAAACCCCAATCAATTCAACATTTCAATGAATTCGAACTTCATCTCAACAAAAATAAAGCGCCACTTCGACATTTTTCGAAACTCGAATAAGTAAATGCGTGCGTACGAGTTTGAGTTCTCGGTCGATGATGGACTTGAGCGAGTCGGGATCGGACTCGGAGCACCGATCGAGGTTTTGCTGGACGACGAGTTTTCGGTAGTTCCAAGCGGTGTAGAACTCGGGGTTTTGCTCGAGGAGTTTGCCGCTCAACTGTAAGGCTTCGTCGGTGTAAACCTTGTTGTGGTGATTGGAGAAGAAGTGCGACTGGAGAGCCCGGAGCGCTTCGGCTCTGGCGGCGGAAGCGGCTTCGTCTTCCGGCTTCGCTGGTTTCCGAGGTTGTCCGTGCATTTTGCTTCGACTCGAAGGATCGGTTGGCTTTTGGGTTCTAAATTTGCGGGGCTGTAAGATCAGATCCTCTGGGAATTGAGACTTTTCGTATGCTACCGTTTACATAGACGACGACTAAAATGTTATGCTGCAAAACTGTTGTGATGAATTTGAAGTTGTTGCCACCACATACCATTGTCGTTTAATGGTATTTTTATTTGTAACTGAATGGTTTTGAGTTTGATTCTCAATATTTGTGAATTTGAATTATATTATTGTTAGTATACTCTGAAACTTAACTCATTCCTTCAAAGTGGGTGTAATATTAAAAAATATACACTTATTAAGATAAATTAGAGAGAACAGTTGGGGTGGGAGGATCGGAGGATTTTGTTTTTGACTTTTTTTTTTAATATTGGATATATTTTAACATTACTTGTAGGTAGGGTTTGAATAATAAATAAATAAAATTTAGACCTGTAAAATTACACTATTGCTCATCATTTTTTTGTGTGATAGAAGACTAAATAGTATTTTCACCATCTTTTGGTTAACAAAGATGGTTTCATTCATGTAGTTTTAGATTTACACAGTCACACAATTTCAATAAAAACATATTTAGTGTAAATATATTCTCCGACCTCTTAGTATAAATATATCATTATATTATCAAAAAAATAATAATTATAAAAAAAAAATTCATTCCAAAATTAGTCCAATTATAAATTATAATAACCTCCGCACTATACTAAGTTATAATTTTTAAGGGTGAACTGCCAATTTAGTCTCTGAATTATCAGATTATTAAAAATTTACCAATTACATCCCTAATATTATAATCAAAGCTTCTATATTCAACTTTCAGTCAATATAAATCACGTTACTTGCATGTGTTACACATTAAAGAGTAAATTGGTAGTTTTTCAAATAGAAATAGTGTATCGAGTTAACTTTGGAGGGTAAATTGGTAGTTTTTCATAAGAAATAATGTAAGTTAATTTTGGAGGGTAAATTAGACGTTAGATTCGTAATCTATACAAAATGTTAGAGGCTTATATACGAGAAAATGACGATATTAAACTCTAAAGTGTGTCAAGTTACTTAAGTTGACGAAAAATTGGATAAAATAGCTTTGAATATAATAATAGGGATGGAATTAGAAAATTTTAATGAATTTAGGGACTTATTTTACAGAAAAAATAATTTAGCGATCTAATTTTTACTGAGTTGATAGTTTAGGAACTAAATCGGTACTTCACCTATTTTTTAAATCTCATCCTAGAAACTTGCCCCCACATAACAATAATTGTTGATAAGCCTCCAACATGTCTTTTACAGACATTTGAGGGACCAACAAACAACAACTAGGTGTTATTTCACTAATTAAGATCGACTGTATGAATTCTAAAACATCACTACATTCGGCCTTACACCAAGTCATAGCGCCACTGCCCTTGGTCTTACACCAAATCTTCTGCTTGCCCCAAGTACTCGATATCTTTTCTTACAATCTCTTTTCTGAGCCTTCCTAGGCCTTCCTTTACCCCTTTTACCTTAAGTCTCTGCCTTATAGTTGTATCTTCTAACCGAAGCATTCGTAAATCTTCAGTTCATGTGTTCAAACAACCCTAACCGATTTTCTCCCATATTTGAGAGGCCGCTTTTTACAATTATCAGATTGTGTCATGTCCATGACCCCAATAGAAAGAAGAGATTAATAATTAATCATGTCCATAAATCACTATTCCAATCAATTGTGTCTGACAGAGCGGCGGTAAATTAAATAGTTCATAATCTAAACGAAGCCTACTAAAGCCTCAAATTCTTACTAACTTAAAAAAAAAAACCTTGCTGCAAACAACTGCACTGCATTTCTCTCAGATAGTAACAAGTCCTCTCCTAGCATATATATTTCTTTTCTTTGATTAGAAGGGAATGCTCTTAGCACATATGTTGCACCTGCTTGGCTTCATTTTCTGATTGGTTCACACCACCCGTGACAGTTGAAGTCTCGAAATAGGGCACCCCGGAGTTGCTTACATGTGAAACCGCGCACCCTGCTCCTGCTCCTGCTTCAGGCACCATATTCGCTTCTGAAGCCCAGGGCGTCGTATTTCCAAATGGAACTGCTCCAGCATCATGATATGGCAATAGAACTGCTCCAGCATCATGATATGGCAATAGAACAGCTGCCACATCATGATATGACGGCGGAGCTGCTACCGCATCATGAGTTTGGCTGTCACCTTGCTTGGATTCATCTTCTGATTGGTTCATACCAACCGTGACAGTTGAAGCCTCGAAATAAGGCACCCCGGAGTTGCTTGCATGTGAAACCGCCTGCCCTGCTCCTGCTCCAGGCGCCATATTCGCTTCTGTGGCCCAGGGCGTTGTATTTCCATATGACAATGGAACTTCTCCAGAATCATGATATGGTAAAAGAACTGCTCCCGCATCATGATATGACGGTGGAACTGCTACCAGATCATGAGTTTGACTGTCACTGTGATTGAAATACGAAGCTGTTGACTGCCCATGTGTAGCACTAACATCATTATCGCAGGGAATCAAACCAGGTTCCCATTCAGAGTGAGAATGAGACACCCATTCATGAGTGTTTGGTGCTGCTTCTGCAGCCATTGGTTGAACATGTGCGTTGGCTCCACTTCCTGATATTTCGCTACCACCCATGTTTACTTCAGAGTTGCCTTCATTTTGTACTTGAGTCTGGCCAGCCTTGTCTCCTGTGGGTTTCTTCTTAAACTTCCTCTTCTGAGGTCGAGGTTTCTTTGGTTTAGGAACATCAGCAGTCTCTTCGGAATTAGTAATTGGTGCTGCCTGCCTTTTTTTACATGGAACCACAGTTAACTGAGTGTTCCCAACTGATTCCTTAGATGACTCAGAATTGCTTGACCGGATAGCTAAAAGAGCAGTTCTAGCTACCTTTATCTCAGCTTCTTTTTTCGTTTTTGCCACAGCTCCAACATAACGAATTCCCCCAATCTCTACCGTACATGAAAATAGTGGTGTTTTATCAGCGGTTTCTTCCTTTTGGCACTCATATAGAGGAATAGCGTAATTCATCTTTTGTGCATACTCTTGAAGCAGATTTTTGCACAAGCCAGTTTCATGCTAGAACAAACAGCAAAATCAAGGTCAGGCCGTGATTAAAATGGTACACATATTTGCACTGCCAATGCATTTTTCTGAAGATAAAAATAAAACAATTCAAATATTAAAAAGGCATTGGACATTATAAATCAATCAGAGGATTCATACGGATCAAAATAGAAACATACATATGGCCGTCTGTAATTACATTTACACGTGTTCAGGGCACAAGAAGTCAGGTTCAGCTGACAATTTGTTGTTTGGGCAGAAAACTTTTGAGCTCTTGAGAACAAAAAGAAGGATACTACACATTGCTTTAGGTAGCAAACTGTTATGTCGTATCCTCTATCAATAACTTTAGTGCCCGTTTAGACTTTCATTCTTAATTATTTGTTTTTCTAGCGGTTCCACTTTTGTTGTTCTTAATCAAATTCTTTGTTAAAAAAAAAAAAAAGTTAGTCAAGCATAAACCACAACCGCATATCTAATAAGATCAAGAATGGCAAATATTATCTATGCCATTAGTTGAAAGGTAGACATAAAGCAGAATACAACCAAGGCCCCATAACGTTCAATTGTAAGCTTCTTTCAAACACAACTACAGGTCAGCAACTAGACCACTAATGCAGTAAAAACACATACAATCTGACTCTTCTAGGTCATCTTTTTGTAAATGGTTGTTTTACACACAAGCAAGGGGAGGGAAACGAAATAACATTTGCCTCACATAAATCTTCGGCCAGGAGCCATTTATTCCTTCCTGTTATATGAACATGCTCAAAGCAGTTTCATAATGAAAGTAACCACTCCATGAGGTTTACAATTTAATCAACTAGATATGTACATACTGACATCTGTGTTACCATGTGGAGGAGGGGAGAGAGAAAAGAGAACAAAACGGTGGGATTTGAAGGGCAATAAAAAGATCAGACGACTCAGACTAATAACAATATTAGCTTGTACTTATAATTCAGTTAAGGATAAACAACTTACAATAGGCTGAGAGATTGATCGATCAACATCAGCAGATTTAGCTAACTCCACAAGAGCCACTTCAGCAGCTGACTGCTCTGCTATCTTACGATTGGAAAATCCAGGCAAAGAATCGTATCTGACTTCATTTACTATTACTGTAGACTTGAAAGAAGGCGCATGGGAAGGACCCTCTTTTGTAGTCTCATATACTGGTGTAGGCATTCCCACTTTTTGTGCATATTCTTGTAACTGGCTCTTGAATACATAGCAATTTGAAACACCTTGTAGCGGACAGGAAGTATACGAAAGAAGATACAAAATCAATGCTTATTAAATATAAGAAAACAAAAAGTAATCTGTAAACACTGATTATGTCCTTTATCATAAATAAATGAGAAATATACATATATGCAACATGAAACTACATGAGTCTTCTTTCGAAGGGGAAAGACACTTAATATCCTGGCCAGTTGATGTACAATTACTTTTCCGACCAGGCCCCACAAATATAAGTAGAATTTGCTAGGAGAACCTGTTTTGTGGGACATAATCTGTTTAGAAGAACGATATTTCGTCGACTGTTCCTGTATTACTACTTGCAAGGATAAGTTTTACCACACAATGTACACCCATTGATTAATTGATCAAGAACTCTCAATGTTCCTTTTGTTAACTAAGTAACCCTGAGTACACATAAAACTAAAAGGCCAGAACAGAAGACACCTATTACTTCCCTTTGGAGTAACCAATGTTAACCACTGACACATTACAAAACCAGTTTGGCACTCGCGGTTAAAATGGCAAGCACTTCAGAGTTCAGTTCCACCACATTCACCAGTAAAGTCTCCAAAAAAAGATAATAACAGCTTTAAATCAAATAAGATTTAAACTTATGAATTCAATTACTCTTCATTTCAAATTATGATCTTAAGCTCTCTCGCACAATTTCCACATGTTGTAGATGCGATAAAACCCGCGAATTTAAGAATGAAATTATCTGGGCACAACCCTTTTTAACAAGGTCATCCAATGTTCAAAAGGCATAGAAAAAAAAAATAACAAATAAAATAAAAATCAAGTCATTGTATGTAACTACTAAATAGTTTCTTATCAAAGCAAAAAAGAGAAAAGAACAATATAATATTTCCCAAGGAATTATATTAGACTTAATAGCAAAAAATGGGGTAAAGTTTTGGATACCTTGAAAGCCTTCGTTTGTGGACATAGCTCTCACAGCGGCTTGTTGACAGCAGAATCAAAACCCAACACTTTGATCCTGACAGAAATTAAAACCCTAAATTCTGAAATTCAACCTCCATTTCTAAATTTAAACCCAAATTCACATTCACAGATTCTTAAACCCTGAAATTCATCCCAAATTAAAACCCTAAATTCTAAAATTCTTCACCAATTCGAAATCAAAATCCTTAAATTCACAATTTCAAATTCGTAGTTAGACTTACTTTGAAGGAGATAAACAAACGGGACGAAGCGGTGGTAGTGGCTGGGTTCGGGATCGCGAAGAGGAGAGATAGGTCTGGGTTTAACAAAAAATTATAAACTAAAAATGTAGAAGCTAGAGATTATAAATTAAATTTAAAAAAAGTTTTCAATTTTCATCCAAACCCATAAAAAAAATAAAAACGAAAATTGGGTTCCATAAAGGGGGAGAAGAGTAGCAGTTCATGAGACATTTGTTCTAAAATTTCAAAAAATTAATCTATGAAAACGTGATATGAGTCTCGAATTAAACCCTAGCCGTAGCAGAGCAAGAACAGGGAGAGGGAGAAAGAGGAGAGAGAAGAGAGAGAGTACCTGAATTTTGTTTTCTTTTTTTGCCGGAATAACTTTTGTTTGATGGGCAAAGAGAAAAAGATGAGTTGCAGAATAACTGAACTGTGTTTGCAGCATTTGCGAGTTGTTGGAGTCATCAGTACAGGGTGGTACATCTATTCCTATTAAAATACGTAGTGTATCACTTGTGTTCCTATCACAGCTAAAAATTTCTCGGAGCAATGGCCTTTGGTACCTCCCAACTTTTGGTCCGAATGGGACTCGCGCATGACAGCATATTTCCGCTCGTTGAGAATTTTTATAATGTTGTTACGAGAAGTACCGTTAAACTGCGACCTGTGTGCAAAGAGTTCACGATCAATATTATTTTTGAGAGAGTACTTTAGCATTTCTTTGTTATTTATTCTGAAAAGTAATTCTATTTATACAACTTTACCTATTGACTAAGGACAAGAGTAATTAATATTTAAAAGCCAAAAGGTGAATGCTTTACTAAATCTGTGCACAACTCCTTTCCTGTATATTGATTTCTGCTTTTGTTTTGTATGCATTGTTGGTTTTATCATTCACGTGTCATTATTGCTTTAGATTTCTAATGAGATTTTCAACCATTGTCGTTGTGCCATGTCATTGTTTATTGGTAATATTCGTTCATATTTTTTTGTGTAAGATTATCGATCATTCACATAGTGTCACATATCTTTATCCGATCTTTGGTTTCCTATTAGCGGGTCATGAGCAAGGAAGAAAATATCGGTGATATCGGAAATATCGGTAGTCCGAAAACACGGAAATATCGATGGAAATATCGGTAAAATATCGATATCGATAAAAATTACATGGAAACCACGGAAATTGTAAGAAAAACTTGGAAATTTTTATTGAAACTTTGTAGGATGTTTATTTAGTCAATTATCTATTAGTTTATCACAAAAAATTGGAAGGAAATGCATTGCATGATGGATTTAACATTATCAAGTTGATTATATAGCGATCTGACAAACATTATGAGTGTAGAAAATATGTAGTAATTAATGAAAGAAGTCTAAACACACCATAATCATTTATATATAATGAATTAGTGCAATATTTTACACTTTAGTACCACATAGAGTTCCTATGAGGTTCAAATTTGTCACTATCTTCATCATCTCTATGTGTAGAATGAGTGTATTGTGAAGAGTAGTTATCAAATGATAAATCCCCAAAAATAGTTTTGCATGTAATTGTTAATATGCCACCCATATGGATCTGAGATTGGTTGAGGTTGTCCATAAGAAAAATCATTTGAAGATTGAGGCTGGGATTGTTTCCATGAGTCGCTCGATTCCATCCCAACAGGAATGAGATATGAAGGGTAGGGAAATGGTTGGTTATGAGTATAACCATAGTTACTACTTCCCAATCCAACAGAGTCTGAAGTTCTAGATAACGAGTCATCTTCTTGACTTGACAAAATCCCTTTGCCTCTTTCTCTGCGAGTATAGTCCTTCCCTATGGCACCAATTCCTGGTCCTGCCCCGCCTACTGCCATGGTCATCATCCTGTGTTGCATGCGTGAAGTTTTGCCTCACCAGTGAAGGGGCTCATATATCCGGGAGGTGGTGGTCCATAATAGTTTCCATATCCACCACCACTACCTCCAGCTCCACTATGTCCTTCATCATTCCCACCTCTGGTGGTAGGTGAGTCTCCTGATCTTGTACTAGAGCTATCATTAGTATCAGCACGATGTTGTGGTTGTGTAGGATTAGAAAAAGGTGGAATTCCAGTGTTGCTTGGTCTTGGGTGCAAAAGTTCTTCGAAAGAGTCAGCGCTGCTAGATCTCACCTCCTCCTCTAATACTCTTTCTACATTTATCCCTTCATTACGTGCTTCTTCAGCAACTCTGGGAGCTGGGTTGCCTTCATCATCATCTAAATGAAGAGGTCTAATCCATTGAAAAAGTTGGTTACCCTCTGTATCATCATCTTCACCAACAATATCAAACACATCTAGTGGGTCACCACGGTCGACATGATCGATTTCTGCTTCCTTATCTCGAATTTGAAGCTTCATGTTGTAGTAGCAATAAACTAATTTTTCCAAGCTATTATGAGCCAACTTATTTCTTTGCTTTGTGTGTATGAGTGCAAATGTGCTCCAATTTCTTTCACAAGCAGATGAGGAAGCTGTTTGTGATAATACTTTTATTGCTAACTTTCTCACAGTTGGTGCATCGGTCCCATACATGATCCACCATTCAGCTACAATGAAAAATAATGTTGATAAGCCTAATAACTCCAACAAATTCTATTATAAACTTATAGTGAAATATGTTTATACTCACTAGGAGACATATTTGTTCGAGCAGCAACTGATGTTGGTTCTCCAAATGTTCTTCTTGCATCTTTAAACCATGTTAGCTGAATACAATAAATTGTGTTAGTTTAATCCAACAAAGTAATTATTATAATTTAAGTAATTGTGTACCTCATTTCCATATTGGCCAACTGCTGGTGATGCAGGGTCTAATTTAGAGTATACATTATGTACAGCACGTATAAGGTTACCATCATCTCCAACACCAGGTCTGTATTGGTATCAGGGATTCAAATAATATGCTGTTCAAAGAAACACATACTCTAATAAGATAAATAATACTTATGCAACTAAAGAAATGAATTGCAAATTATGACATAATTTATACCTGCTGCATGCAAATCGTGGTATAATGTTTTATACCATCGGTCTTCAATTATTTTTACGACCCACCTTGCACCATGTTTTCTTTCCAATTCATCCTTCACTACACGCATCAACTCATATACTGCCCCCATAGTAGGATACACTTCTGTGTCAACGATCCGTAAAACTTTGTAAAGAGGTTCAAACACTTGACACACATGTTCTGTTTGACTCCAAAAAGCATGATCAAGCACTATACTTTCCACCATACGACCTGTATTTGAGCGGCTGAAATTGTGGTTGGCCCAATCGTCACTAGTGAATAGTTGCTTCAACCCTGCTTTCTTCTTGAGTAGGCTGTTTTAATGCAATATATAGTGGCGAATCGAGTGGTAGCTGGACGAATAATTTCTCCTCTGCAAAATTCACGCATCTTTGCCAACAACCAACCGTGATTGTAAATATAATTTGTGATCGTTCTAGCTCTTTTGACCACAGTAGCAACATTCTCTCTCTTCCCCATTGCCTCAAACATAAGATCAATACAATGTGCTGCACATGATGTCCAAAACACATTATGATGCTTCATTAACTTTTTTCCAGCTTTGACAAATGCAGAACCGTTGTCGGTCACGACTTGGACAACATTATGCTCTCCCACCTCCATGATTACATCCCTCAATAATTTGTAAATATACTTGTAATTCTTTATATGGTCTGAAACATCAACAGACTTCAAAAAAATTGTCTTTCCCTTGGAGTATACCATGAAGTTGATGATAGATAATCTGGTCGGGCCGGTCCATCCGTCACACATGATTGTGCAACCATTAGTTTCCCACTTTGACCTCAACTTGTTAACATACTCGCCAATGTCTTTATACTCCATATCCAAATATTTGTTTCTTATCTCATAGGGAGTGGGAGGTTGTACTCCAACGCCGGCCTGTTGACATCCCACTACCATATTTTTGAAATGATGTGATGATGCCTTCGCAGCAGGGACATTTTCATAGATAAAGAACTTGCTAATTAGACGCCCCATTCCCTCCTTCACATTACCTCCCTTGAAATAACTCCAAACACTCTTTTGACGTGCGTTGGATGACTTATATAAACTTGGGGCTATTGGTGGTGTTGGTTGTGATTCTCTAAGACTGCCTCCCCGTCTCATTTGTGCACCACCACTTGTCCCGGAACCTTGTCCCCTATTAGGAATTTTATGAAGGTGTTCTCTTTCCCATGCTGACTGTTTGGAGGCATGTAATGCTTGTTTCAAACTGCGTCGTTCTTCAGGTCCCATGTCATCATCACATTCGTCCTCATCGTCATCATCATCACTGTCAACCGCTTGGCCATAGACTTCTCCTCGTAGCCCAGCTCGAATATTTTCCATTCCCTGTGTTATCTTTTCCTTCTGCTGTTTTTTATTTTTTAATAATGTGCTGATGAATGCCTTCACTTCTGGGGGGACATTATCGCATCGTTGGACATTTTTTGATGGATCTAATCCACTAAGATGATACTTCAGTCGTGTCACTCCGCCACTCTTCATTACCCGACCACAATATTTGCAAATTGTGCCATGTTTGTTTCCGTCTATTGGGTCTCCATGTTCCCAAGCTGGATCACGTTTACTGGACATCTTAAACGTACCTATATTTATTTTTCATGAAAATTAGACAATTATTTTTTGATAAAAATAAGAGAACCTAAATAATAAAGTTATTCTACAGAATAATTAAATACAAAGTAAAGAAAATGATTGTAAAAATTTAAGTAATTATACAAATAATATGGAATAATAAAACCTAATATTAATGAATAATAATCCAATTTGATAATAATTCAATTTGTATAATAATAATCCAATTTGATAAAAAAAAATCCTAATATAAAACATGGTGATGAATAATAATCCAATTTAATGAATAATAATCCAATTTGATAATAATCCAATTTAATGAATAATCCACCAATTTGATAAAAAAAAATAATCCTAATATAAAACATGGTGATGAATAATAATCCAATTTGATAATAATCCAATTTAATGAATAATCCACCAATTTGATAAAAAAATAATCCTAATATAAAACATGGTGATGAATAATAATCCAATTTGATAATAATCCAATTTAATGAATAATCCACCAATTTGATAAAAAAAATAATCCTAAATATAAAACATGGTGATGAATAATAATCCAATTTGATAATAATCCAATTTAATGAATAATCCACCAATTTGATAAAAAAAATAATCCTAATATAAAACATGGTGATGAATAATAATCCAATTTGATAATAATAATCCAATTTGATAATAATCCAATTTAATGAATAATCCACCAATTTGATAAAAAAATAATCCTAAATAAAACATGGTGATGAATAATAATCCAATTTGATAATAATAATAATCCAATTTAATGAATAATCCACCAATTTGATAAAAAAATAATCCTAAATATA